CACATTTTTTTTCAATGACTAATTACAAAAAAGTTGAGTAGCTTCATGAGAACAGGCTGAAAGAACCACAGTCTGGATGTAATGTCTGTGTATTCTGTGTTTCTATCTTGAAAATAAGCTGAACCATTTTTAGACCCTGTATGTCCAAGAAAGAGAGCTGCTGAGGTATCTCCCTTTAATTAGACATTATCTGCCAAGAATATTCAGGACTGTCCTGTCATCTCTCCTTCTTTAAGCATTTCTTATTTGCTGTCTCAGATAGTTTCTCAATGAAGCTTCTATATTTTTTTTTTTTTTTTTTTTTTTTGGTGTTTCATCGTTGTGGGTTAACCCTGGTAGGCAATTAAGCCCCACATAGACACAGATGCTTGCTCACCCCCCCCTAGTTTGAGGAGGGAGATAATTGGAAGGGTAAAAGTGAGAAAACTTGTGGGCTGAGATAAAGAAATTTTAATAGGAAAAGAAGCTGAGTGCACAAATGAAGTAAAATAAATAATTCATTTACTACTTCCCATCAGCAGGCAGGGGTTTAGCCAATGCCAGGAAAGCAGGGCTTCATCATATGTAATAGTTTATTGGGAAGACAAATGTCCCCCCTTCCTCCTTCTTCCCTCAGCTTTTATTTCTGAGGGAGTGCTCCCTCAGTCTCTCCTAGCACCCAGTTCACCAACTACTGATATTGGAAATCCCTCTTAAAACTACTCAAAAATAATTTCAAGTGATGGTGTCTTTACTTGAGCAGTGTTCAAGGCTATAGGTCAAATAATCATGACAGAAAACTGTTGAACAAAACCATCAATGACAACTCCTGTTTGGAGTGATAAAGAAGGGGAAATACATTGCTATCATATGTACAGTACAAAGCATTTCAAAATATCCTTTTTCATTCATATAGAATAGGAAAACACCCAGGCTTGTTGTGAAAAGGTGGTGGCTATTTATTTGGCACAACCAAATAACCTGGACTGACCATATGCATGGATTCTGCCAACCCATGAGTCCAATGAAACTGCTTTAAGACCAGTTAGGATTACCTTCTGCAAGCTGGTGAACCACTCCTTCTATTAGCCCCTTCCTGGCAAGATTATGTTTGTTAAATTCATTTGCTTTAGAATTATGATTGACACCCAGATATGTGTGTGCAGACTGTCCAGAGCTCATGCCTGTTGTTGACACAATGCCATGAAGGTGACCTTTTGCACATTGACATTTATGATCCATTCATGATTATTTCATATGTGGAATATCATGTGGTCTTACCAACAGGAGTTGGTGAAGTCCATCCCAAACACCGAGACATAGGAGGAATAAGCATGCCAGTGTTTTCAAGCACCTCAGTTACATCATGGCTGTAAAACATTAGAGTGAGCCAGTCTCTATTGTTTCAGCACTCCAGGGTGCTGTCCCCAAGACACTAAGCAAGCTAGTCATGAGCCTGAATAAAGAACTAGCTCCTATCTGAATCCATTAGAAACCATTTCATATCTGTCACAAAGCATAATATGTGGAAGCAGTATGCACCTCTATATACAGAAGCAGCATAAATGGAGTTCTGGGAAAATTATGAGCAGCTGTGATCTCATTGGTTTGTAAAAAAAAAAAAAAAAAAAAAAAAAA